TCCTTCTCTATCTTGCTGGGAAACACACTGTGTTTGCTCAGGTCGACTTCACGGATTACAAAGAAGGGTAAGTACTTTATTTACGGAATACATTTCCATCTCCACTATGAAACCTTATTACATTTGAACTGTATCTTTGACCAACACACTCTCACTTCACATAATCTCTTTTGTTGTGTTATCTGTTTTGTGGGGAGTAACTGCCTTTGTGACGTTTTAGATGTGTAATCATTGACAGACTGAGATATTTTTTCAGTTTCAACCATGCACCTTATACTACGTATACTACTGCATTTCTGTTGTGTGTAACTTATTAGATGTCAGACACCCCCACCAACACACAGGCACCCGTTCAGCTATCTTAGTGAGGACCTTCACTGACATAATGCTTTTCCTGGCCCCTTACCCCAACCATTAAAAATGAATGCCTAACCCTTACCCTAAACCTAACCATAACCTAATTGTAACCCCGACACTAAAACCACATTTTGAGCCTCAAAAATGCCTTTAAATGCCTTCACATTTGTGAGGACCGGGTTGTGTGTCCTCACAAGTGACTGTTGGTTCTCACAAGTATAGTAGAATGCAGATTTCGGTCCTCACAAAGATAGCTAGACAGGAACACACACACACACACACATGCAGATAACTAAGTCTTAATTAGGCTGAGACTATGCAATGGAAAACAATAGATTTACTGTTGTGATGATCTTACACTGGCATAACTGATAAATTTAGGGACCTTTCAGCAAAATGTTTTGCTAAATGAAAAAAAAGGTCATCTATTATTTTTAGTTTTATGAGATGTTCCTGGAACTGTTTAACCAACAACAACAAATAGTTTCAAACGTTTTTGCTATGAGGAGTTTTTCACTGACAAGAGCAAGAGGCCCATTTTGACATGATGTTGCAGGACAGGCACAGGTGTGATTTATATAATATTGATTATGGCACTTTTGTACATGGATAGTACAGTACCAAGATCCTGGTACAAAACACGATGGGACCCTCCATTCTCTTCCACTTAGCCAATTCAGGGTCGCAGTCGTGGCTGGAGCCTATCCCAGCGTTCGTGGGGCGAGAGGAAGGGTACGGCCTGGACAGGTTGCTAACAAATATTGAGACAGGCAACCATTGACACATACAGCTGATTTAGAATCACCGATTAACCCGACGACTGTGGGAGGAAGCCACACCTGCAGAGAACCCACTCAGACACTGAGCATGCAAAATCCACACAGAAGGCCCTGGACTAGAGTTAAACCCAGGACCTGCTTGCTGTGAGGAAATGGTGCTAACCACCACACCGCTGTCCCACTCCCAAATATTATTATCATATTTATGAATAGTGTTTATGAGAAACGCGCCCAAGCTGAAATGTTTTTGAACATGTGTCTCTGCAGTGCAGATAACAGATTTCCCTGTTAACAGCTCCATCTGCTGGGAATCCGAACTCTCACTCAGCGCGTGTTACAGAATGATAACAAGCCTACAGACAGTTCTGTAAGGGTCAGAGGTCAGGGGTGTCAAACAAACAAAAAGTTTTGGAAAATGTGGACATTTCAAAGTTAATAAATTCTGAACGTTCAACTGTATTTTTATTTGTTTTAGCTTCTTTACTGTCAAAGACACAACCAATGGGCTGTTATCCACCAGACAGAGAAGTAACAGATAAACCATTAACTGCAAGAAAACTTCCTTTTTTTATTGTTAGTATTCAGTTTAAGAACAGGAAAAATCCCTTCATAATCCCTGTTTACAAAATAAGTTTATTTTTACAAATGAATAATGCTACACTCAATTCACAGATGATTTCTGTCACAGCAAATAAACGAAGTCCTTCGTTTCTTTATTTCCTTTACAGTCTGACCCCAATGACCCTGCTGACAGTTTTTTTTAAATTTACTACATCAGTATTTCTTTGTAATGATAAAAAGCAGAAGTATTGTAGAAGTATTGTTTCTGAAGACATCTCTGGCAATCAAACTGTAGTTTACCTTCTTTACATTGAAAATCTTTTAAATGAGTTACTGTGCGTTAGCTTTACCGCTCCAACCCACTTAAGATCAAACTGAGCGTATGTGGCCCATGATGTAAAACTCCTGGTTTGTCCTGGAATGTATTGTAATGTGTTTTCCATGATAATAAAAACAAGACTGGGCACAGACTACACAGCCATTCCTCCTGAATCTTTATCGCCCTCTGCTGATCGACTTTAGCATCGCATTGTTTTGTTTCTGTACACCTCTCATCTCTCGTAAACCTCGCAGGTAGACAGATGTTACGCCTTAAAATGTTAACATGAGCACATTGTGTACGTGCCCGTCTGTGTCATGTGTCCATTACATAATGTACCTGTGTTTAATTAAAGACTGTCTGTTGTTACGCAATGGCCCGATTATTGAACACATTCAATTTACCCTTAGTGATTAAATGTGTCCCACGTCACTTTGGTGACCCAGATTGCACCGCCCCCTCCTCCTCCTCTCTGTGCTCTGTCTGTACTGCTGTGATATTTTTAGTTCAACCGGTTCTCATAAAGCAATTTAAATAGTCTGGCTCTCCTATGTGCCGACCCTGACACACGCTCAGAGACACGTGGATGCTTTAATGTGCTCATTTAGTCAGTCTGATGGAAAACAAGCATCCAACAGCACACTTAATACCGCAGGGACACGCTGCAGGGATGTGTGCGTGGGGGAGTGTGTGTGTTTCACGCGGCATGTGTGGTTTGAGTTCAGCCCCAGCTTTGAACAGTTGTTGATCATAAAGATGGAGTTCGGTATAACAGATGGATGAATGGGTTATTTTAGCAGGACAGCAGAGTGAGCCCATAAAAAATGAACATGGAAACAGACCATGCTTGAGTCAGATTTAAACACATTCTTTCATCCCGACTGAAGCTGACGTTCTTGTTTTTGTGTTCATGTGTGTTTGTGGTGCATTCACTGACCTAACAGAGAGGGAAAACTCTCCCGGAGCTGATTCACTCTCCCTCACCAGGAACACTCCAGTGTCCTGCCAACGCAGACGCTGTTCAGCCTCAAGTCTTGACACCGGTCCTGCAAACCACCTACCAGAGCACACAACAGCACACACTTCTCACACACTTCTCTTGGCATTTAAAAGACAATTAAAGCAGTATTCAAATCAGTTATGTAAGTCAGTGTTTCCCCCATTTTAGGTCACAAAAGGAATAAAGCACAAATGATGACATCCTAAATTGTTGCTTTTTTATCTTTAGGCCTCTAAAACTCCTTAAAATGATACAATCCAATAACAAGAAAACAGTCTGACTACACACTAAAGCCTGATAAGGGTTACTCATGCAGCACAAGTGGACAAAATTTCTTTTTACGGGTGTGGAAGGAGGGAAATGTAGTTCCCGGGCACGTAGCCACGCTTCCCCTGGATCTCTGCTGTCACCCAGCAAGAATCCTCCTCCATTTCTGTCACCTATAACGCACATGCACACGCACAATTACTCTGCATCGACATACAAAACAAAACATTTCTCAACGCATTAAAAGACCCACTTACCTTGATGATATCACCTTTCTGAAAACTGATCTCGTCTGCTTCTGACGCTGCGAAAGAGAAAAGAGCCACAGCCTCCATCCCAGACAGAAAGAGTGCAGCGGAGGAGCCTCGACAACAGTTTCACTTCATGAATGGAGAGATACTACAGCTGAGTAGAGGACAGCACTGGGTGATGACATAATCACTGTGTGTGTGTGTGTGTGTGTGTGTGCGTAGTGGCTGATATTCTGCTCTTAAGTTAATGAGCAGAGTTTTTCTGCGTCCCTTTCCACATGTGACAGAGTTAGAGCGCAAACACGTGGAGATGGCGACCGCCTCTTTCCATTCCCAGCTTCTCTGCCTACACACTTTAAACTCTGGGGCTTTATTAAAGCACGTCCACCAGGGAAACCAGCGACAGTGGGAGGCTCACACTTTGAAGCAATGGAAAAGGACCTGAAGTAGACTGCAATGCTAAAAGATCAGGACAGGAGGTAACAAAGCGGCTCCAGCTGATTTGGTTACACGCGCTTTTGACAGGGAAATGTCAAGTTTTGAAACCTGAGCTTAAAGATTGCCTGTGTGCGCTTAAGCACAACAAAATAACATCTACACAGTCAGAGGATGCAGCGGAGGACGTCTTCACAGATTCCCTTAGTGACTGATAAAAAAGCAATAAAATAACACGCTTTTTCACAAAATATGCATTTATTTAGAGGATTTTGATGTGAATAAACTTCAGTTGAGCTTTTACATCCCACTTATGTGAGTGGCCACTGTGACATCATTCAGTGGCAGGTTGGACATGGCAAAGAAAGTGTTTGGCAACTCTTTTGCTTCACATCAACTCTGGGATTGTCTATATTTAGCTCATATTCTCATTTAAAATGGTGCACTAACAATTTACTGCAACACATTGCTATAGCTATATGTTTTAAATGTGGCTGGGGTCCTTATAGGATGATGGGCCTTTTTTTAAAATTAATTACATGAAATATGATCAAAAAGGTTTGTAAGTACAGGCGTAAAAATGCTGTCACTGTGCCTTTATGGTTCTCTCCTCCTGAGGGCTGGATCTCCTCCACTGCGAGCCTTCAACTTGAATTTTGTTGCGGAAGAGAGGACAAAGTCGCAGGGAGCCAAATCTGCCTTTTCAGTGAGCTGTGTGTAATTTGGAGTGAACATTCTCCCTTTGATGCTTCAGGGTGCTACGGGAGAACTTGGCACTGAGGGGGTGATCCCCCGGGACAAATTCAGAAGTAGGTCAGAAAAATCAACAACCACTCTCCTGGTCTCACCCACAGCGCTACCTTTGGGGCTTTAGACTACACTGAGTCTGAGTCATAGCTGAGATCCAGGGATGATCCTGGACATCCAAGCTGGGAGCGATGCATAGCAGCGGCACTGTGAGTGGTGTAAAGGTGCAGGTGACAGTGGGCACATTTAAATCAGTGGAGTGGAGTCGCAAAACTTTTTGAGTACAACTCAACTGCTGCATTACAAATACCCAGATGAAAGAAGTTAACAAGCAAACAAATAAAAAACCACAATTAGCGTGCTCCTCTTGGATTCAACGAATTTGAATATTGCAACAACATGAAGAGAAATGTACCTTGATTTATTCGTGTGTGCGTTAGTAGCAGTCCACTATGACCTCTTGCCCTGGTTGTGTGTTTGAATGAGAGTGAGAGGTGCTTGCAGTTAGTATGTCCTGCAGCAGTGAGAGGGGCGAGTTATGCACGTGGTCACTGCTTCTACTGAGGATCTCCAGCCTCTCGTCCAAACCCAGAGAGCCCAACGCTTCACACACGCTTACGCGCTCGCAATGACTCACAGCGCTCGCTCCTTCCTCGCTGTGGTCTTCAAAGCTGGGGGCATTGAGTGCATTTAAATCTCTCTCAGCCTTAGCCTCAGTCCTTACACCCAGTATCTTTCTGATCTCCTGTGCCCAACCTGCTCTGGGCAGCTCACAGGACACTCTGGCAACTGTCGCCGTGGCAGCAGATACATCTGGGTCCCTTTGCGATGCTGGACAAACCGTCACTCTGAGTGTTATCAGCAGTCTACAGGCCTTTAAAGCTACAGGCCTATCGCAATCAACCAGACCGCTCAGCAATGCAGAGATGACTCCCTGCTCAACTAGACTCTTCAACACGTCGACTAAATCTGACTCCGCGTCCTGTGCGCGCGTGTCTCCGTGTGTGTGAAGTGTGTAGGCTCGGTCAGGCATCACAGCGTACGCGTGTGGTTGGGCCGGACGTGCGTCCGAGCCATTCGTGTAACTCCCGTGCCCCAAAAAGGCTTTGTCCAGCAGCAACTCCGCCAGCTCCAGCGTGTGAACTTTGACCTCCCAGTCCAGATCGGCACAGCCTCGTGAGAGGACGGAGCGTACAGACTGCATGAGGAGAGAGCAGGAGGGGGAGGCAGGCGACGACGGGGGCGTGTGTGACGTATTTGAAGAGAACCAGGCGATGAAGAACTGTACAACAGCCCTCCTGGCAAACCCTTCTGTGTCCTGGGACAGAATCTCAAGCAGCCGGGTCACGATTTCAGTCTGGAGATAGACGGGACATCGAGTTAGCAAAACCGGGCAAGTTCAAATCAAACTACAGATGAACTATTATCATTTAAATCTGATATCTGTTCTGAGCTCCACTATCTCTATCTTGAGTGTTGCTGTTATTCCACAGAACAAAACAAAAAGTGGAAAAATTCTTCCCTAATGCAACTGATGCTTTGAACAGAAGCTGGAGGCGTTTTCAGCTCAGGCTGTCTACTATTAGGAAGGTCCACAGTTCGACGCCCAGCTCATCTAATGTCACAGTGTCTTGAGGCACAATAATAAACGCCAAATCCCACTGCATCTCTGCTCTGTTGCCCTCTCAGAATAAGCCTTTTACTTCTACTAAACACAGCGTGTTATTGCCTTTGGCACAAAAAACAGTTGACTCAAACAAGTGCAGGTTCACACAGAGCACATGTGGCAGGTGTGAAAGAGTCTGGACAGACCACGGCAAAAATTATATAATTATTGTGAATGCAAGATCATCTGTGAAAACAACGGGGCACCACTGGTGAATCTGCCAGTTCAGGTGTTTTCTTACTAATGCCTGTGCCAATCTGTGCCCACACGCTCCACTGAAGGATGTTGGGTACTTGTGCCACCCTCATGGAGTCTTCTTCTGACAGCTTGGTGATAAAGCCTGCTGGAGGACATTTTGCAGGGCTCTTACTAAAAGGAACAGATACTGATAATGCCCTTGGGTGTTATCAGTATTTGTTCCAGTGGTGACAAGAACACCAACCAAGAAGCAAAACTAGAAAAAAATCAGTTGGAGGGATGAGGAGAGAAGAATGATCTGTGGCCACACTGTGTGATCTTCTTGTTGCCTCTTCAGTGCACATGTTGTCACTTTTATTTGCACCAAAGCAGGTAAAATTAACCAGTTTGTTATACGAATACATGCTACATATATAATACCGGTGTTAAGTTTCTAATATTTACTGTTCTTGAGTATTCACATGTGTCTTTATCCTCCTGTCATGCATGCACGTTCGTGTACACATTCCTCGGTCCTATTTCGACAGGTTTGCCTTTACTTCTTCTCACCTGCTCCTGTGTGGGTGCTGCCCCCTCCTGCCAGCTGTGCATCACTGTCTGTGCCAGTGCTTTGATCGCACTGGCTCTCACATAACTCTCTGGATCCTGCAGAGCCTCCCGGAGGAGAGGAGTGGTACAGCAGCAGCCACCCAGCAGGGCCTCAGAGGCATCGCACGCCTGCTCAGCTGGCGCCTGGCAGACACGCATCGCTCCCAGGTGCCCCAGAAACTCCATCGTTGAGTCTCTTACCTCCCAGCGCATGTCACACGCACGCTTCTTCACCACCTGGACGAGATCTAACAGACACAAACAATGTGATTTGTTGTGCAGATCTATTGCACAGGCTTTATGAGCTACAGGGAAGATGCTAACGCTGCGATTTACCGAGTCTGAGCTGGTCTGTTATAAAGGAGACGTCTGTGCAAACACTCATCCACTTTACCAAGGCTTGGTAGGACTTATGTAGCACCTGAAAAACAAAGACACAGTCATCTTATCACGATGTTCAGTCCAAAAAACATTTTTGTTCCCCTCAACCTGCCTTTTAAAATCTTGAACCTTTCTCTATCTCATTAGTTCTTGTCCATTCAAAAATAAAAAGCAGAAACTTGTGCTTTTTACATGACTCTATGACAATTACAGAAAATTATGTAAAGAAGATTTTTGATGCTTGAAAGTGAGCAAAAGAAATTTAACTTTGACCTGTGTAAAAACAGGTTGAGATACTCAGGTTACTGACGCCATCTGGTGGATGGTTTGGGACTCTTAGTTCCAAATAATGAAAGAAGTGACAGTCCCTTCAACGTACAGTGATACTTTCAGACAACAGTGTGTTACGACCACAGTCTGGGGAGAGATATTCCTGGCTTCGTGCGCTATGGAAAAACTTGACTAACTCCAACTTTAACCACATCCATCACCTTTACAACAAACTAGAAATGAAACTCTAAGCTAGATCTTCCACAGGTCAGGATATTGACCCAACCCAGTGTAATGGGATGAGAGCCAGGCTGCATCCATATTAGAGCAAACACAGAGAAACAGACTCACGTTTTAATTCACACCTACAGCCAGTTTAGGTGTGAATCAAAGCAGCTGTACAAATCTCTGATAGTTGTGATCATCTTACATCTGTGAACAAAAACACGCACAAACTTACAGTGGGATCAGAATCAGGATTGTCCAGATACTGTATCAGAAGTGTGAGCACGTCAGTCAGCTTGCCATTTGCCCCTGAAACACAAACAGACACATAAATTAACTCAGCGTGTTCCTTTAACATTTGTTTTTTTCATATATGCCATATACTGCTTGTGTTTTGTAAAAGTATCTTACAGAATTTTTAAAAACTCATCACTTCACTTTTAATACATGCACTGAAGGTCTTTATATCCTCCATAAAGAGAATGGTTGTTTTCAGTATTCCCTTTTAGTTCCATTCATGTAATATGGATTCTAACACTAATGACAGCTTCACCTGGGCTGTTACTGACAGCTGTCAGAGCCTCTAGAGCACATTTCTGAACTTTCCCACTGCCAATGACATTCCTGAAAACTTCACTACAGCCAGCGGACGAGGAGGACAAGTCGCCGCTGCAGATCCTCAGTAACGACAGAATTCCAGACACGATTAAATCCGGAGCGCAGGGGAGGCAGTCAGGATCCTGTGGGAGAGAGGCAGATTATAAGCCTTTCCATGCGTTAGAAAAAAAGCTAACACCTTATAACGTGGCCTGCGACTAAGGGCGTGTTACTCCTATCATTCAGATTTTATCAGAAGTTACAATGTAATTATGTTTACATACATCTACTTAAGTGTACAGTACAGGAAAGAATTATTATTATACATGTTATCACCTTATTCTAGTGTGCCTGCCTTTAATTGTGTGTATGTAAATATAATTACATTGTAATTACAAATAAAATACCCTAAAAAGTCTGTTTTATTACAGAGGAATTAAAAATTATAGTGTTAACCGAAAAAGATCCAATATTTACTTAGCCACTCTCTCCTGTCCTTACACTCACCATGTGTGCGATCTGAGGTGTGTTTGTTAGACACACACTGATCATGGAGATGCAGGAGGTTTTGCTCTTCAGCTGCTCAGTCATGGCAAACCGATGCATGTCTCCTATAGGCCCAGATCTCATGTTACTCCATAACATAAATGCAAGATAACACCGATTTTTCTCAAGAGTGTACATCTTTGTGGGTCACCTGCAGTGTTTGTGCCTAGTCGGTTCTGGCCAGATATGATGTCGAGGGGTAGCAGCAGTAATCTCACAGACTGAGCCGTGTGGACACGGTCACTGCACATAAAACCAGAAAAAGAAGAAGAAAAGTTTGCAGACAAGATACTAGACTGACAAATCCTCATGGCTTTTTAACAGAAAACCCAACCTCAACAGACTTTTGTGTACAGAGTTTGTGTTGGCTGATCAAGCTGTGCTTACTGATGGCTGCCGCGGAGAAAAGCAGCTGCAGCATGGACGAGGTCAGCAGGTTTCCTGACATTCAACATGAAAGTTAAAAGACGGGTGATGCGCTGGTCTGGGATGCGGCTGCAGGAGCAAGCACAGCAAGAGTCTATAAACTAAACCAGAAAGAGGCTGAACAGCAGCACAGTCACTAATGTATACTTAAAAACAACCACTAAGTAAATGCTGTGAATGATGGCTGACCATTACACTGTCCTGTTGTATTGCATAGATCAACAGAACAAAGCCATTGATGCTATATCTATTAGCAGATTTGCATATTCAGCCAGGAAGCTCCACTATCCTCACCATCCTCTTAAAGTCACTACTTAAAATCTAAATAATCTCTACTAGAGACAAAAAAGGACAGACAACTCTATAATGCTACACTCTACTGTGTTTTATGAGGGGTTTACCTGCATGCAGCTAGAATGACATCCATCAGAGGCAGTGTGAGTTCACTACAATCTGCTGCCACCATTTCCTCCAGAGAAGCTGTGACTGTCTGCAGCAGCTTGTCACGCAGAGGAGGCTTGGTCTGGCCCAGGAGCAGAGCCAGCAATCTGAGGGTCTGCTGACACTGATGAAGCTGTGCGCTTCCCTTGGGAACCCCCAGCGCCCTCTTGAGGTACTCTGAGATTGCATCGACAACAGCGGTGCAATCTTGGTTTATTTCCATGGGCTCGGCTGGGTTTTCTACAACTGCCTTGGACACGCTTGTGTTCTGCTCATCTTCCTTCTTATCGGTGCCATTACATCCTATAGATGAGACAGGCTGACAGAACAGCAGGACGTGGGCGAGCATTTGATTTGCAGCTGAGGCAACAAATAGGCTTGTGTCTGTCTGGAGTTGCAGAAGTGGCTCAATGAAATCTAAAAAAAACAAACAAAGATAATACATATATATGAGAATGCATCAGAATTACAACAATATAATACTTATAGCACAGTGCCTCTCGCCCTATGGCAGCTGGGAAAGATCCAGCCCCCAGTGACCCTGAATTTGATATGCAGGAGCAAACAAATGAAAGGATGAACAGAAATAGCATATTATCCTTACCACTAATGATCCCCCTCTCATGAATCGATGCACAAAACTCACCTGCTTGTATAAAGAAGCTAAGACCATTTGGATGCTGCAGTGTGGTCCTTAAGCCCTGGATCCAGCCAATCCGTATGCAGGGATCCTCCCAGAGCCCTAACTCCTGCCAGTGCTGACAGCTAAAGACAAGATCCAGAACTAAGGACTCCTGCAAGAGAGAGAGGGAGGCACAATAATAGGGCACATAAGCATTGGAATATTTTGTAACAGTTTACTAAATGCACCAGGCGTCAGAAGCACTACCTTAAGAACTATGAAGTCATCCTCAGCAGCAGCCAATAAGCCGATGAGTCTGAGAGTAAAGGAGAGGACACCTGGGGCTGAAGCCGTGTCATGAATCACAGCAGATATGAGCTCAAGCAGACACGGACAGGCCTCCAGCAGAGACTCCCCTTCAAAGAGTGAACGAAAAGAAAAACAATGATACAGATTTACACAGGATCAGTTTTTTATGTGCACTATAAAGAGAAATGATAAAGGTATAAAAGACATGAAAAAGAAACATTTTGAATTTAAATTTATCTTTATTAATGCAATATAACATATATATATATATAAGTATCTCTGAGTTTTGGGATCTTTTACAAAGTGTAAATGTTATCTGCAAATATCGGTGATATAATCTGAGTAATAATCACCTACAAATACAGTGATTCGCTGCATGGTATTAAGTATAGATCAGTTCTCTGGAGAATGAGGGCTCTTTAAAACACACCTTTCAGCTTTTCATGTATTTTGAAGCTGGGTTTTTTTTTTTGGAGAACTGGAATGTAAATGTGCTTGTCTCTGTCTCAGCTTGTGTCGTTTAAATATGCTATAAGCCATAAATCAAGCAGAAGTGACAGTCAACACAAAAAAGACAGTCATCGCATGTTTGTTTCATTTTCAAAATATCTGTTATTCAACCCAGGGTCGGGGGTTACATAGTATCGATTAGATGGTACTTTTAATAATATAATATTTGAATCGATCCTCCTATTAGAAAGATAGTGGGAGAGGGCGAAGAATGAAGACACTATCCTGTTAGGGTCAGTACTACTAACCAGCCTCGGTGAGCGCTGTGAACCAGTCCAGCAGTTTCTCCAGAATGGTGTCATCGGGCAGCGAGCTCCCTGAGGCCGCCAGCACCTCACAGACCCGGGGCAGCAGTGACACACACTCTCTGTCCATGGTGCTAAGGTGTGCGTGTTAATAACCGCCGTTGCTAGCTTAGGTCTTTACAACTAGAAGTTATATAAAGTCTACACATTCTCTAACCACTCATGTCAATGTAAATGTGACCTCTAGCTAAATTAAGCAGTACAGACCAAACTGAAGCAGCCACTTTAAACACACAAAGTCGTTGGTTTTTGTACTTTACTAAACGAACGTCTCGCGGGAAACAGTTTCGGATCTACCGGTGTGTCGTTTCCTTTCCCGTGCTTCTGGGCGGGTCTCACGCCGCTGCGCTCTTCGCTGATCTCTAAACATCACCGTGGGGGAAAATTACCACCAGTAGCTGTTGTACTTCCGGTCCCTATGCTTTACAGCTTTACTGCTTCTGCGCAGCCTTTCCACGCGCCTTTGAGGAGGTTCCGGTGTCGCGTTTCCGTCACGTCGTCCATTTTCACGGATCCGCACATGGTGCTACACCGGCTGAGGATCGCCAGCCTTTTCGTTTTCGGGATTTTTGCTCCGCTGTAGACAAAAGTCCGTGTCGTAGTTCTGTTAAATGAAAGAAACGGTGGATATGGTGGACGACCCCGAGTATGAAGAGGAGGAGCCTTCCTTCAGCGACCCGGAGGACTACGTGGACGATGTCGACGACGACGGTAAGCAGTCACAGGAAAAACGCCGGCTTCCCGGCCTGCTGTTAGCAGTTAGCTAAGAGCTCAATGGTGGGGATGTTTTAGATGCTACAAAGCTAGCTAGCTTACCTCTCTGCTCACCGGCACGTAGTAATAGTGAATAGTGAATAGTTAACAGTGAACATGAGCTGGATGCATAAGCGTAATTACCAGGAATACAACAGCGACACCACCCTTTTTCTCCAAAAAACTCCAACATAACGTTATCACAGTGTACTTAACGCCCGTTACAGCCTCACCCAGACCCCACACTGGGGCCTGTGCGATCTGAAAAACCGAAACAGGATTTTAGCTAATAAAGCCGTTAGGACACATTATTTTCTCTGTGCTGTTTGCCTATATAAAGTAGTTTGAATGGAGCAGCTGGTTGTAGCTCAATGGTAATCCTAACCCAGGTCTGAGGGGCGTTTGCTCAGTAGAGCTTTTCAATTGTGCAAGTTTGGCAGTTGTGGTAAAATGACTCATCAGATACACGTGTTTTGTCTGTAGTAGTCACAATATAATTATTTATGTATATAGAAACTTTGGGGTAAATTTACAACAAAATTAGTACCATTTAATCTTAATATGCAAGCTTAAGTTAAACAAAGACACAAATGAAATAGCTTCTGTGAAGCTAAACACGCCAGCATAGCGGTTCTTTATCCTCATCAAAATGATGTATATTAAGCAGTGAGTGTAAAGGAGATGTACTATTGAATCAACTTTATTACGATGTCATTATATGTTGTCTACTTATAAATCATGAAGCTTAAACCTACACATCTCTAATGGAAATTTAAACAAAAGAATTGTGTCTATTTCAACGATGCAGTCTTCCCTTCCAGTAACTGAAGTGGTGGCTATAAAGTTTAGATTGGTTCTTGTTTATGAAAAGAAGGTCGTCATTAAAATGAGATAAGAACCCCAACCCCACACAGTTCGATCAGCTTGTTCATCACCCCTGACCCTCCTCCTTCACTTTTCAGAGCTTCTTGATGACATCCTGAGGGAGAAACCCCAGGAGGCAGACGGCATAGACTCAGTGGTGGTGGTGGACAACGTCCCTCAGGTGGGCCCGGAGCGTTTGGAAAAGCTCAAGAACGTCATACACAAGATCTTCTCCAAGTTTGGCAAGATCACGACCGAGTTTTACCCAGATGCAGATGGCATGACCAAAGGGTAAGACCACAGATGTTTTCTTCTGTTCTTTTGTGCATCTGTTTTGATTCAAGGTGGATTTCCGGATTTGAAGCAGAGGGTTTTTGTTTTGTTTTTTAGTAATTGTTTTTTCTCCTCGTTACAGTTACATCTTCCTGGAGTATGCTTCTCCTACTCAAGCCCTCGAAGCAGTCAAGAACGCAGATGGATACAAACTCGACAAGCAACACACGTTTAGGGTCAACCTCTTCACTGACTTTGACAAGTGAGTATGCAGTACCACCCAGTAAATGCATTGTCCAGGTATTGCTTGCCAGACTTGGAATACAAGTAAATAATCCCCCCTTTGTTTTTCTCAGATACATGAACATCAGCGATGAATGGGAAGCTCCAGCTAAGCAGCCTTTCAAAGACTTTGTAAGTGTTACCTTAACTTTTCAGTCATAATATAATGAATCTGTTTATAAGACTTAGAATTTGTTTGACAAAAATAGCTTCATGTCAGCACTTTCATTATTAAGTTGACCTTCATAAATCAACAGGACAGTCTCTATCCTGAAACCCTGCAAGCGACAATTACTTTGTCTGTGTTTTCAGGGGAATATGCGCCATTGGATCGAGGACCCAGATTGCCGTGACCAGTACAGTGTGATCTATGAAGCTGGAGAGAGGACTGCCATTTTCTCCAACGACGCTAAAGAGCCAATCACAGTTGAAGAGAGAGCGGTGAGTTTTTAATTACTCACACAGAGTTGGTGGGAAATGCAGGGCTTGGTCAGTAGTCACTGGTTTGGAGAGTTCTGATGTTTTTCCTGCTTTGATGCAGCGCTGGACAGAGACGTATGTCCGATGGTCTCCTAAAGGTACCTACCTGGCTACGTTCCACCAGCGGGGAATCGCACTGTGGGGCGGCGAGAAGTTCAAACAGATTCAGAGATTCAGTCATCAGGGTGTGTCCCTCATTGACTTCTCACCATGTGAAAGGTAATAAAAAGTCAATTTTTTTTAATCCAAAGAAGCACATTATAGTGCACAGAGTATCCCGTTCTAGTATTTATTCATTAGTGATTTATTTATTTCCTGTAAATAAGGC